CCCTGCAAGAAAACCCTGGCAATAGGGTTGAAGTTTTTAGGGTTTTTGGGGGTGTAGAGTTTAGGGCTTAGGGCTTTAGGGGTTTAGGGTTTAGGGGTTTAGGGTTTTAGGGGTTTAGGGTTTTAAGGTTTTGGGGCTTCTAGGGCTTTAGGGGTTTAGGGTTTAGGGTTTAGGGTTTTGGGGTTTAGGGTTTAGGGTTTAGGGTATTTTGAACGTAAGGCTACCTGGGTAAGGAATTCAATTTTTAGTGAAATCAGAATACGGAAGCTAGCTTAAGATGCCATGCATTAGGAACTCAAGTTGCAGTTGCCATGGTCAGGGTTTTGCTTTAATCGTCACCATAATAAGGGATGTAATTCTAAGTCACCACCGTAAGGAACCCTAAACCCTAAACCCTGAACTCTTGCGGTGTATGGCAACTTAAGTGAAGGCTCCGGGGAGAGGAAGAAGTTCGTGGCGCTGAAAATCGGGTCCTGGAGGGCTTTTGGGGGGTTTTCAGGGGCGTTTAGGATTGTTAAGGGTGGCTTTGGGGATTTTAGGAGTTTCTGAAGGCTTTTTAAGGGTTAAGGGTTGCAAAGGCTTGCAGGGAATGAGGGTTTTTGCTGAGGGGTTTGGGCTTCGGGCTTGCAGCAGGGTTCCGGGCGTTGGAACGTAGGGTGTGTCGTGCGAGGTCGCACGCTGTGGGTTTTGTGGGAAGCCGAATGAATGGCCTGGGGGTTCGGAAGTCCAGAATGGAACCATACTGAACCCCTCACATCGAGGCTTGATACTAGTTTGATACTAGTACAGGGATCGCGGGCGTTTGTCGCGGAGTTTATGGGGGATGGTCAGTCTTACCGCAATGAAAATGTCAAGCGCTTTCTTGCCTCGGCATCGCACTCTAGGCCCTGATCCCGAGGCAAAAACCCTAAACGACCCCAAAACCCGAAACCCCGGAGTCCTGTCAGCCCGCCTGAACCCTGTAAACTTGTGTAAAACGCCAGGCCTCAAGCGCCCGAAACCCGGAACCTTTGAAAACTTAGACACTGAATCCTGCAAGCAGCCCAAGAGCACTCAGAACCCTGAACCCCAGAAGCCTCAGTCCCGGAACCTTCTAAGGGCCCTGGCATAAGCCAAAAAAACCATGGAAGCTTTGCAGAGACCCCGAACCCTTCAGACGACGAACTAGGAGATCCAAAACACACCTCAACACAAACTCGTAAAGAAGAGAGGTGTCGACAGATTAAGATCGGTGTCGATAGGTAACTTATAAAGGTTTGCTCTTACTATGAACTTATAAAGGTTTTTCAGTAAGTTCCTACTATGAACTGAAGATCCATCTCCTTGACCAAAGCCGCCGGCTCGGAGGCGACGCCATCGACTCGTAGGGATGACTTCCGCGAGCGGATTTCGTCGCTGTGCTGGCGGAGCCTGGGGTGTGGAATTCTGCGAGTCGTGATGAGGATCTAGGGCTAGAGTGCAGGCTTTCGGGTTGAGGATTTAGTGTCTGGGGCTCTTTGCACCTTTTTGTGAGGTTGCAGAAGGTTCACGACGAGCTGTTCGGAGCTCAGGGTGTTCTGAAAGCCAAAGCTTTGGGACGGTTGATCTTAGCGCTGTGGATCCCGAGCTCGTTTCAGTTTCGGGTTCAGGGTGCATGCCACAGCCGAAAACGAGGTCCAAGGCACATGAAGCTGGAGTTTAAAACCTTGACTTCCAGCGCATCTTCAGAATCCAAGCTGAACTGCGGCACAGTCCATGACAGGGGCTGGACGAAGAACCTGCAGCTCGGCGGGCGGTCTCTGGGTATACAGAGTCCATTAGACTTACACTCGTGCTACGGTAGGGCAGCCCTTGTGTCTTCGAATCTAAGCATTGAGGAACAGATACATTTTTTGAAGCTTTCGGGCTGCCGCGAAGCACGGACGTGAGTTGGAGGACGCGTTGGGTTCATGTGGCGCCTCGAGCTTCACAGCTTGAAAGGTTTGAGTTGCATTGAGCTTGAATTTCTTGAAGCGATCGAAATTGACAGCTTGAAAGCTTGAGTTGTCGAAAGTCTTACTAGACGAAACTGGGACAAGTTCAGGTTCAAAACAGTGCAAGGTTTTGAATTTTCATACAAGTTGAGAGGTGTTCTGTTGTTCTCTTAATGGGGCGGCGGCGGGCTCAAGAGCTGTGATCAAACGGGATCGCCACACCAGGGCATTTCAGCATTCACGACTAGCCAACGTTTGGGAAGGCTTCTAGAAAAAATGCGACGGGGGCAGAGTGGAGGATGACAAGGGGGCATGTGAGACTTGTGATAAACCGCGCTCTCCAGATATTGGCCGGGTCCAAGGCATGTGGGCAAGCTGAAACAATCGCCATCACCCAATGAGGGGGAGTTCAAAATGCTTGAATAGCCACGAACCATATTCAGAGCATCGGCCTAGTGCGAGCCTGCACACACTGCTTCCAATTCTAATGCCGGGCCTTTCAGATGGTGTTGACCTTGGAACTTGGAACTGTCAAACTTCATCCCCTCAAGCCGCTGCTAAAGTTTGCGGTGAGGGGCTCCAGCTTCGCGTTGAACTCGCGCTGCATTTCCCTAACCGGCAGGTCGTTCGCATCCTCCCCGAAGGGCTGGTCGATCCTTGGCGGGTTCGGGGCGGCAGCTCCAGAGACACGGGGTTCGGTCGCAGTAGCAGCAACAGAGGCAGCAGCACCAGTAGCGACGGTGGCGACTCATGGCAGATGGTGATAACGATGGTGAAGAGGAGGAGGAGGAGGAGGAGGACAACGACGACTAGAGTGGCCATGGGGACGGTAGCGACGTCATGGTGCTGACACGTGTGGTGGAGAGCAGTTCTCTCTCAGTTGAATGCTGAGGGTCCCTAAGTTGCTCAGGTCAGAAGCCCTGAACCCCACAGACCGGGCTTCCCTTCATTCGATATGTGCCTGCACCCTTCTCAGCCGCCGCCGAAGCCCTGAAAGCTGAAGCCTTTGAGGGTTCGGGGAGGAGGCGAAAGAGAAGTTGGATTTTGCAGGGCCTCGCAGGGTTTAGGGTTTAGGGTTCCGTCTTATAGGTGCATCTAAGCCTCTCTTGAGCGATGTAAAAGAGCGTCCAGTACGACGTGGACACCACGAAGACCTGGCTTCCAGCGGCCACGAAACAGGCTACTAGTACCACAGTGCTGAACCCTGCCAGGACCCCCCAGGAGTTCTTCGGCGGATTTGTGTTTACGCTTCGCGCGTGTGTATCTATGCATGTGTGTCTGTCCGTCTGTACGTCTCTCTCTGAGTCTTTGTGTCTCTCTGTCTGTCTATCTGTCTGTCTATCTGTCTGTCTGTGTCTATCTGGCTGTTTCTCTGTCTGTCTGTCTGTCTGTTTGTCTGTTTGTCTGTCTCTGTCCGTCTTTCTTTCGCCAGGGTTACGACCGAGGGTTGCCCCTCTGTCCGTCTCCGTCTGTCTCTGTCTCTGTCTGTCAGTCGGTCCGTCTGCCTGGCTGGCTGGCTGGCTATGCAGATGCGTATGGCGTATGTGTATGCACACTGTGTATATGTAATTCGGCTCAAGAGAATGCAGACAGTCTCCGCGTGTGTTTGTCTGTGTGTGCGTGTAAGTTATTTGTCGGCTTCTTATCTAAAGAGAGGCTGCTTTGACCAATCATCGATAGAAAGGCAGTGCTATCCGTCTGCGGCCCAGGAACAATGATACCGGCCCACCATGGTTTCAGCACCGTCTGGCTGGCAACAAGGGGTGTTAGGATCCAGTGAAGAATCAGCATGTATGACAGGTATTGTGAATAAGGGAACGGGAAGGGCACCTTCCGGATCTTCCGCACGTCTGTGACGCTCACCATGCCCCGTGAGAGTTCCTGGAAGGCTCGGGACAGGATCGGCGGAGACACCTCCAGTGTCTTCTTCCTGTCTGCCTCGATTATGAGGCGCTCAATCCACAAGAGAACGATCTCGCAGCGGTCCGGGCTGGTCCTCAGATGCAGCAGGCTGGCTGCATCAATGCCTCCCAAGTTAAGAACCTCCAGCGTATCATCTGCAAGGTCACAGATGGTCTGCAGCGCATTGCAATGAAGCAAGCTCAGGAGGCGGATGAGATACTGCCGAAAATCTTCCACTTCTTTCTGCTTCTCGATGTTTGGACTGCAGAACGAGAGCAGGTTGCTGACGGCGCTTGTCCATTCCCCTGTGATTTGGTGAAACAAGGTGACGCTCTCCCAAAACCGTGAGTACGCCTGGTTGCTTCGGAACACAATGAGGAAGCCAAGCACGAAAGTGTATCCGGACCAAATGGTATTGATTCCCTCCATCTCTGCGTTGTTGTCCCCCTTCTGCGTGACCCAAAAGATGTGCAGGAGCACCGTGATGGTCGCACATGGTAGAGACCACACCAGGGCCTTCGGGATCACCGACCCTCTTTTCATGAAGAGGACCCCCATTCCCCAGGCTCCATGCTTGTAGTCGATCATGCTACACCCAGAGCACGCGATACGGTGGGCGGAGGGCTTCGGTGCGCCGGCTTGAGCTATAAACTTACTCGTACACGAGAGGCATCGTTTGTTAAAGGAGCAACAGAAACTCAAGCAGATGCAACAAAATGAACAGTACTGACGGCGATCCTCGTGATACTGGTGAAAACACGCCCTCTTGGCACTGATCGGGCTCTTGAGACTGTTCACGACGGGCAGAAGCTGCCGCATTATGCAAGAAGTGAGCCTTCGAACCATTGCCCCTGATCGACTGCAGAGATCGCAAGCCGGGCTAAAGGCAGACCATCCAACAAAACTACATGGCACTCGAGCCTCAGCCATCGTCGTCGACTGGCGTGGCCTGGAAAGCCCGTTCTACTGGTTTCAAGGTTCGCGGTCGGACGCTGGTTGGGTATTCTGGATCGGGGGGGAAGTAGATCATTTGCAAACCCGAAAGACACACAAGAGGCATTCCGACCTCCCGGCCACAGAGGGAGGTTGCTTCGGCCGGCTGCAAGGGCTTCGTAAGCCCACGAAACAAGGATTCTTTGAAAGCTCGCGAGATTCAATGGTAAACTAAGTAGATAAATTAGTGGTACCAACAACGGCATAGACTGACAATGATCACAAACGCAACAATACATGCAACGACATTCCCCAACAATACCCGAAGAGGTTGTCGTCGCTGCCGTAGTCCTGGTGGCTACCTCGGTCGGTGTGGCTGCGTGGCAGTGGCGGTGTGGCAGTGTCGGTGGTGTCGATGGTGTCGGTGATGCTGGAAGTGGCGGTATCGAAGGCGGCGTTGGCTGTGGATGCACAGCACGTAGCTGCAGCTGCTGCTGCAGCAGTAGCATTGGCAAATAGGCAAAAGCGAAGCTCCGCAGCATTGAACACCATACGACGAACGATGCTAACGGCAACAATTTATTGTGACATTAAAATGGAAGAACAAAAGATGCAGCATTAGTGCCAGAAGAGCCTTGCACACAACTTGCCAAATCCTCCAGCCTCCGCACTACATCTCAACCCGAACACTGGAGCCGAAACCCCACGCAAGATCCAGCCACAGGCTCCTGTCCAGCTCTCTCCAACGCGCGCTGCGTTCGGCGCTGCCGCTTGGACAAGACCTGGCCCGGCTCCAAAAGCAACCTATCCGCAGAGGCTTCCAAAGCCTCAAAAGCACTCGGTGGCGGGCGGCACGGTCGCCGACACGCCGCGGAGGCCTGAGTCAAAACTTGGTGGCCAAGTCCCGGGGCCCGGGAATCCAGGCCTTGCCTTCCTTTGGGGAGAACCCCTACGCCCCGACATCCAGGCATTTTAGATTCGCGAAGCCTCAGGCGCGAGCAAGCACCGCTCAAACACGGGCTGCCTCACAAGACCGAAGGCGTGGGCACTTGCGGAGAAGGCTATGTCTGCTCGCATAGGGAACATGACAAGATACGAGTGCATCCATACATGCAAGTGTGCCTAAGCATACGAATATGCATCTGTTCATGCACTGGTCAACTGCATGTTTTTTATTTATCCACCTTTTTGTCAACATAAAAATACAAAGGCTTATGGCTTATGTGTTATACATATATATATACATATATA